CCTCCTAAACAAAAAGTGACATTTCAGAATTCTGGCAATGGAACACCTGAAAATGTTCATGATAAATCACCTCATCAATATGAATATAGTGGTAGACCTTCAAGAGGTTTTTCCAACTATAGAGGTCAAGGTGGATATAGGGGTAATGGATATAGGAGAGGAGGTTATCAAAACCAAAATTTTTTTCCATCGAGGGGGGGTTTTTTCATACCATCACCGGGGGTGGAATATGGCACCAAGGGGTTACAGACCACAGGAGAAAGATTGGAGAGAACAAGGGAATTATGGCAGAGAAGAGGGAACAAGAAATACAGAGGCAAAAGAGGAGGAAGGAGACAAAAAGAGAAAAAGAGAATAATAGGGGCAGGAATCTATAACTTGAGTGATGTTACTTTTTCTGAAAGAGAAATTAAAGTTTTGGACCTTGGTTTGAAATATATACCTAGGACGAATTTAAATAAATTCGATGTTTTTATTGATTTGCAAAAATTTGTGAGAAAACTTAATATTAAAAAATTTTTTTGAATTGAATAAATCTCAAGGAAACAATCCTACTTCATCTTCTCATGGTTTTCAAAATAGTGGTTTAAAAAATGCTTCTACATTTAACCCTAAGATTTCTGGTAATGCTTTTCTGGAGGTATTTAAAAATATGGTAGAAAATGAGATTAAGAGTATTAATGTTAAAAATTCGTACTGTATTCCACCAGATATAAAATTGGGTATTGAGGATCTTGAAAAGAGAAAGAATATAGTAATTAGAAGTGCTGATAAAGGGGGAAGTATTGTTGTTTTAAATAAGAATGACTATGAAAAAGAAATGAAGAGATTATTACAATCTGAAGATACATATAAAATTTTGCAAAAAAATCCCACTAAGAAACTTAAATTACTACTTAAGTGTATTATTAACAAAGGAAAAGAGTTGGGGGTATTAACTGAAAAAGAAGCAAAATATTTATTGATTAAAAACATCCGAAAATACCTACTATATACTATTTACCAAAAATACACAAAAATAAGGAGAACCCACCGGGGAGACCCATTGTGAGTGGGATAAATTCTTTATTTGCAAGAGTTGGTGAATATGTTGATACTTTTCTGAAAAACATTGTTATGACAAATAGGGCTTTTCTGAGAGATGGTGGACATCTTATTAACATCCTTAAAGAATTACATAATGTTGATAATTGTATGTTGGTTACTATAGATGTAGAATCTTTATATACTAACATCGATCAAAATGATGGAATTAATGCGGTAAAATGGGCCCTTAAACATAAATCACTCCTGAAAAGATCGCAGAGGAAATTTGTTGTTGAATTACTTGAATTTGCGATGAATAACAATTTCTTTTGGTACAACAACACTTTTTTTCAGCAATGTAAGGGTGTTGCCATGGGAGCTAAGTATGCTCCCAGTGTGGCAAATCTGGTAATGGATAAATGGGAGGAAGAAAGTATTTTCAATAAATGGCCAGAGATGGCGCTATACAAGAGGTATATTGATGACATTATAATGGTATGGGATGGATCCAGAGAAAAGCTCGATTCCTTTATGGAATATATTAATATGAACCGCTATGGATTGAGATTCACTGTTATTAGTGATTTTGAGCAAATTAATTTTTTGGATCTGGTCCTATATAAAGATAATGGCCAAATTTGTACCAAAACTTACTTCAAGGAAGTGGACAAAAACAGCTATATACCTATTTCTAGTGGACATCATCCAAATTGGTTATATAGCACTCCAAAAAGTCAGTTTACCAGATTAAAAAGAAATTGTAGCGCTAACAAAGATTTTTTCGATCAATCTGAGGTGTTAATTGAAAGATTTATAGAGAAAGGGTATGATAAGACCTTTTTGATTAAAGAGAGAAATTCGATTAGTATTAAAGATAGGGAGACGTTTCTTGGAAATAGAAAGGCTCATTTGGGATTTGAAAATAATGTACCCTTTATTACTAACTATAATATGCAATACAAAAATATTGAACGAATTTTTAAAAAATATTGGCCCATTTTGTTAAAAGATGATATACTAAATAAATTCTTATCTAAAACTCCTAAATTCATTTATAAGAAAAATAAGTCTCTTAGGATGAAACTGGCTCGCAATGTCATCGAACCCCCAAAAAAGTTCGATCTGTTTCCAAATTTAAATGTTTTTTTTTCCTTGTAGGAAGTGTAAAGTTTGTAGGACTGTAAAAGTTGGTAATAATATAAAAAAGAAAGTCATTCTGCTCTTCATTTTCCAAAAAAGAATATGATATTAAATCCCTGATTACATGCAATTCTACACATGTGATTTATGTTTTAGAATGTCCATGTCATTTGAGATATATTGGGAGAACTGGGAGATGTTTAAAAACAAGAATAGGCGAACATATAAGAAACATAGTAAAAGGATTTGATAAACATAGTGTATCCAAACATTTCAAATTGGTACATAATTGTGATCCGAGCTTACTTACCTTTTATGGGATCGAGATGGTAAAACCCCATTGGAGGGGCTCGGATTTGGTTAATGAGATTTCCAAAAAAGAGACGTTTTGGATTTATGAACTAAATTCCTTGCAACCATTTGGGTTAAATGTCGATATAGATTTGAATTGTTTTCTCACAAATTTTTAATTTTTATGTTATTTTAAGTATATTTTTATATAGGCAACTGTTTAAAGATGATATATGGGAGATTGTGTGTTTTTTGTACAATTTTTGCATTATTTTTGTATTATTACTAGAGTTCCCCTTTATTTGTGTTTTAAAGTGTTACTGGCCCTTTAAGTTCCCTTTTTGAAACACAGTCTTAGAGGGTGCTGGCCCGTTAATGTATTTATTTATTTAATTTATTTATCATTAGTGTTTTATTTAAATTTCTTTTTATTTTATTTTTGTTCTCTTGTTTTAAAGTTTTTTTTGCTTGTGATGGCAAATATATTGGATACATTGTATATCCTTTGTGGACTCCTGTCATCTGTGGGGCGGCTTGCTTTTGCTTGATTCCCCATTGATGTCAGCTGTTCGTTTCCTGTGAGTGAATATTTAAGGAGGTTGAGACGTCTCACATCTATCCGCTTCGTGAGGACGTCGATGACGAAACGCGTAGGGCGGAGCTTGATTGATGTGACGTCATTAAGTTTTTGGCTGCCAGCTACTGCGCATGTGCTGAGTAGCCAGGCTCGTTTATGTGATTGCTGTTATGCTGTTGATGCTGGTGTCGGCTGGGACACCTCTTGAGTAAGTGCAATGAGTACCTAATAAAGGAATTGGTTTTTATAATATTGCACCATGAAGTCTTTCTGTTTCTCTCGAGTGCTTGGCATTTCCCCCCATGGATACGTTTGAAGGTGGTCCTTTATCTATTGGAGAAGTGGGTTTTCGCTTAACTATAAAGTTTTTCATCCTGTTATTTCGATCGATGAGGATCGGTGTGTTGCAGAGTTTCCGTTTCTGAAGATATATTTATGGATGATCTGCCATTATATTATCAAGGTTTTTTGGGTGAAATTTTTCATATTTAGACACTTTTTTTGCACAAAATTTTTTTGCACTTAAAAGTTTTTTTTATATTTTTTTGTGGTATTGGCATATATATATTTTTTTTTTTCAGGACTTATGATTTGATGATTTCTTTATATACATTTATATATTTATACACATTTACTAGCGCAAATTATTTATTTATTGGCGCTCAGGAGTAGTGACGCTGTCCCTGCCGGCCAATCAGCGGGCGGGCTGGAGGGAAGTCTCCAGCAGCCGGGAGACCCAGTAAATCTATTTGATTATCTGGACTTTCCTGCTGAAATCCGGAGGATTCCCAGCCGTGTTGAATATGACAAATGGGTGTCCATTGGTAGACTTTAGGCCCCATTTCGCATCTAACGATGCAGGAGCATCGCATTTTTCAAGCATTTTTTTGCACATTTTTTGTGGCATTTTTGAAGCAACACCATTCAACTGAACAGACTCCAAAAAACGCACTAAAGTAGCTCCTGTACTCTTTTTTTGGAGCCAACTTTGGACAGCGCAATTTGGCACATTTTTTTGCCCGTTTGTTGTTTGACAAACTGCCTGTTTTTATGGCGTGTTTGGGGTGCCATTAAAGTGTTACTAAACCCACACCAGTACAATCAGTCTGTAGATGCAGTAAAGCATGCTTGTTATACTCACTGTGGAACCTAAGGGGTTAATCCTCTGCATTGTGTAAAAAGGCTGTTTGATCCTGTCTTCTCTGATCCTCCCCTTCTTCCACAGTCCTCCTCTTATTTCCTGATGATAAGACATATGGTGGAAACACTCTGCACATGCTCAGTTTGGTGTGTATTATTAGAGAGGTTGTTTTTTTTTTTTCTTGGGAGAGTGCATGTGATGAGCACAGGGCCAATCAGCACTGTCCAGACAGAGGTCAGGGGTTTTGCATCCTCCTAGAGCTGAAAGAAAACTCCTACAAGCTTTAACTAGTGCTCTGCTGAACACTGATTGAAGTCACAAGACTTCTATATACTGCTGATGAGAAAAGGTATTTAGCAGTTTATATTTACTAAAATAATTGCATTTCCATGTTCTGTGTACTGTGGGACACCAGATATAGCGGATGTAGGGTCCGGGGGACACCAGATATAGTGGATGTAGGGTTCGGGGAGACCAGATATAGTGGATGTAGGGTCCGGGGAGACCAGATATAGTGAATGCGGGGTCCGGGACACCAGATATAGTGGATGTAGGGTTCGGGGAGACCAGATATAGTGAATGCGGGGTCCGGGGAGAGCGGATATAGTGAATGCAGGGTCCAGGGAGAGCAGATATATTGAATGCAGGGTCCGGGGAGACCAGATATAGTGAATGCAGGGTCCGGGGAGACCAGATATAGTGAATGCAGGGTCCGGGGAGACCAGATATAGTGAATGCAGGGTCCGAGGAGACCAGATATAGCGGATGTAGGGTCCGAGGAGACCAGATATAGTGGATGTTTTTTTTTTTTAGGGTAGGGTCCGAGGAGACCAGATATAGTGAATGCAGGGTCCGAGGAGACCAGATATAGCGGATGTAGGGTCCGAGGAGACCAGATATAGTGAATGCAGGGTCCGAGGAGACCAGATATAGTGAATGCAGGGTCCGAGGAGACCAGATATAGCGGATGTAGGGTCCGAGGAGACCAGATATAGTGGATGTGGGGTCCGAGGAGACCAGATATAGCGGATGTAGGGTCCGAGGAGAGCAGATATAGTGAATGCAGGGTCTGAGGAGACCAGATATAGCGGATGTAGGGTCCGAGGAGACCAGATATAGCGGATGTAGGGTCCGAGGAGACCAGATATAGTGGATGTGGGGTCCGAGGAGACCAGATATAGCGGATGTAGGGTCCGAGGAGAGCAGATATAGTGAATGCAGGGTCTGAGGAGACCAGATATAGCGGATGTAGGGTCCGAGGAGACCAGATATAGCGGATGTAGGGTCCGGGGAGACCAGATATTGTGAATGCAGGGTCCGAGGAGACCAGATATAGTGGATGTAGGGTCCGAGGAGACCAGATATAGTGGGTGTAGGGTCCAGGGAGACCAGATATAGTGGATGTAGGGTCCGGGGAGACCAGATATAGTGGATGTAGGGTCCGAGGAGACCAGATATAGTGGGTGTAGGGTCCAGGGAGACCAGATATAGCGGATGCAGGGTCCTGGGTTTAGTAACACTTTAAGAATGAATGGCGCCCAAATACGCTTCTTGGGTTTTGACACATTTTTAGGCCGATCCAGAATCAATACGCTAAAGTGTTAACAGGGTAGTGCCAAAGATTTAATGTCACTGTATCCCAAAAACTGATCTCCCTGTCTGATGGGTGTCAAAAAAGCACGGATGAGAGGAAATCATCCATAACTTGCAAAAAAAAAACCCCTTCTAATAGAGGGAGTAAAATTTGGCCCCTCTCTTAAGATTCTGTTATAGACTCCTCCCCCCCTCGGATGAGAGATTTCCCCTCACTTCCTGTTCTATCAAACACCTATCACCTGGGCAGGAAATGAGCGGAAAGCCTCATTATAAGAGCAAAAGACACCCAACAGATGGTCTATCCCTACTCAAAACTTAAAAAAATGTTTTTGCTAGCGTTGGGTTTTGAATTAATGAGCTTTATATAAACAGGGGGTTCTCTCAGAGGAAACCATTCCGAAACAGTAGATCCAGTGGTGTATTTAGGTTTTGTGCTGCCCTAGGCAACACAAAAATTGAGGCTTTCCCCCTCGCAGAAAGAGCCTGACATTGACCAAGAGCACCCCTGCCTTCCACCCGAGCCTTCCACTACCACTGCCCCTATACACCAGCCACCATCCCCCATGGCGAGAGAGAGAAAGACACTAACCTTCACAGTTCTGGACATCCCCAGGAATGAGAGTTGGGCTGTGCATACACCGTCATGAAACCCACAGCATCTCTCGGAACCCACCAGGTCCCCATGCTGCGTGTGTCCCTTCTTCCAAGGGGCAGTGCTGCCCCCCCTGAAAAATATTGCCCTAGGCCCTAGAAACAGCTAAAGTCATATGCAATTCTTAACCTTTTCAGCTTGGCCCTGTCTTCCTATTGGTCCATTCATATGACAAGTAACCTCACTGACAAGAGAAAGCCCTGAAAGGTGGAAGGGAACAAGTCCAATTTTCATCTACAAAATAGAAATTTGCATATAGCTTAAAAGGGAACTCCATTGCCCTTTGCTATTATTTATTTTCCCTTCTTGCTTGGTTTTCTGGGTCTTCTTCAATGCACATACTCACGCTTCCAGCAAATACAGCCTTGTCTTGCTGTAATCAACCACATGCCGGGTCCTACACCTCCATCCTCTTTGCCTATGTTATTGAAAGCTTTCTGTCTATTTTTGGGTTCTTCTAGCCCCCTGATGACCACAGCAGTGCCTGTGCAGTTAAAATAGAATAAGCTACACCCGTGCGCTGCTACACAATAATAAACAGTATTACTGCTACATGAACAGATCAAAAATGGAGACTGCTGCAACCACCCACTAAGTGTACTCTCAGTAAAAAAAATAAAATAATAAAAAATATTAACGTGGTGCGCTAACTCCTCAAAGAGCATAAAACCCCATAAAAAAAACAATAAACACAAGTCCACAACTATAATCTGGTAAAAATAGTGATCCAGTCTCAAATTAAATACAGTGCTTTATAAAGTGCCTGGCATCCGCTTGTTGTTAAATGTTGTCCTTCATGCTACAACTAGTCCATGCTAGGTCCCTCCAAGCATATCTTCACTCCTTGTGACGCCAAACGTGCAATATAGATCCAAAAAACAAAAGAATATTTCGTAGTGCGACACCATTTTGATAAAAAAAACCCAATAAGATAAGCGAATACACTCACAATAACCAAATCTCAACGTGCTCCCCACCAAGTGTTGAGAAACAACAATCCTTCATACACCCAACAATGCTCATGGTGTGTAGTTATCCATGGTAATTCCCATCACCTATGCACTCACCTTCTTCTTTGACCTTCATCAAAATAGGTCACCCACACTTTTTGGGTTGGTCAATCTCTGCTCTGTCCTTTAGTAGCTGCCTTCTTTAGGCCTGGTTCACATCTTTGTGGTTGTGTGGGCCGCGATTTGCGCGGGCATGAGAGCCCATTCCTTTGAATGGACTCCCGTGCCCTGGGATATGCAGGGAAGAAGTCCCTGCACTTCTTCGGAAATCGCGACCCGTATGGGAACCGAGGTTCCCAGTATGGTTGTGATTTCCAGTGTGGGCGGCTTGCCGATAGAATTAATGGCGCCCGCCCGCGGGTCCCGCATTCCTCTGTGTGGGTGGTGCGGCTGCAGGTATTTGTGCGGGTCCCGCAGCAGCACCACCCGCACAGATGTGAACCAAGTCTTAAGAGACCTGACTCCCGAAATTTCCACTGGGATGGTGAATGCTGTTTCTCCTCAGATGGAATAGCTCTTTGTTAGATTATGTCTTTTGCAGGACTGAATGGGAATTACATTTTCAGTTTTGATCAGCTGATGCCCTTGCAGGGCACTAAAAAGTGCATGTGCAGTGTTTTCTAGATTGTTCCAAAGCCTCCTGGAATCCGTGGCTTCAGTATCTCAGGAGGCTTTGGGCTATCGGATACATCATTCCATTCTTACCTGAGTGAAAAAGGAAGATGCGAGGGCTGGGCTCCACAAAAAGTATTTTTCAAAAAAGTGTCCAAGACTTCATGAAAGGAAGAGGGAAGGATCAATATTCTTCAAAGAAGGAATGAAAAAGAAGCAAAGGTCCACTTTGAACTGCTTCAAATCTGGATCTACTGATCACTTTGACATGCAGTTTTCACTAAAGGCTTGTGTTTTTTTTTTTACTATATTCTTTTTTTTACTATATTCTTAATATGAGGAAAACTCTAGTAGTAGTTGGTCACATTCAACTAGATACAATATATTCTGTAATGTTGAAGATATTTCATAGTTTATCCAAGCCACTTCTTCAGTTGAAATTTCCACTGGGATGGTGAATGCTGTTTCTCCTCAGAAGGAATAGCTCTTTGTTAGATCATGTCTTTTGCAGGACTGATTCTGAATGGGAATTACATTTTCAGTTTTGATCAGCTGATGCCCTTGCAGGGCACTAAAAAGTGCATGTGCAGTGTTTTCTAGATTGTTCCAAAGCCTCCTGGAATCCGTGGCTTCAGTATCTCAGGAGGCTTTGGGCTATCGGATACATCATTCTTGCCTGAGTGAAAAAGGAAGATGCGTGGGCTGGGCTCCACAAAAAGTATTTTTCAAAAAAGTGTCCAAGATTTCATGAAAGGAAGAGGGAAGGATCAATATTCTTCAAAGAAGGAAAGAAAAAGAAGCGAAGGTCCACTTTGAACTGCTTCAAATCTGGATCTACTGATCACTTTGACATGCAGTTTTCACTAAAGGCTTGCGTTTTTTTTTTTTTTTTTTTACTATATTCTTAACATGAATTTGTGAAAGCCCAGGGCTATGACAGGTTCTCTTGATGCCTCTGTCCAAGATCCTTGTACAGCTATGTTTTCTGATCGTTGCATTGAAAAGCAGCCATGCAGTTATGTCATGGACTGTAGATGTGTAATGAGCTGTGTAATTCAATATACTGCTGTTGTAATGTCCGATATGTGCGCTGCCGCTTACAATTAATGCGTCCTACTTGTCTCAATTCAAGAACAATAGTGGTGACAAGCTACCGTTGAACACTCTGGGTAATTTAAATCAGCTCCAAAGTATATTAGCAAAATTGTGTGCAAATGTTACTAGTGTCTTCGTGAACAGAAGATATATTGAATACAATTCTAGCAAATGTACCTATGAGTTATGAAAGTTGTTTGGTGCAGGAGAATTGGCACAGTAGGTTCTAGGCCACACCATTAAATTGGCAGGAGGAAATTTCTATCACCTTCTTTGACTTTGAAGTTCATATCCAAAAATCTAACACTAGGTAACTTACCCTAACTCTAAACAACAAAGTAAATATGAATTCCAGGCAATCGGCTAAAAACACCAACACATACTTGGAAACTCTAGTAGTAGTTGGTCACATTCAACTAGATACAATATATTCTGTAATGTTGAAGATATTTCATAGCTTATCCAAGCCACTTCTTCAGTTCTAATGAGTGTAAGGAAAACATCCCAGTAGTATCTTCCCGAAATTCATTAGATCCAAAGAAGCAGCTCGCAGATATTATAAAACCACTCCAAAGTTACAGAACCAGTCCAGTTGAAAGTACCAACTACTACTAGACATACCATGACTTGGTTAAAGAGAACCTTCATAGACACTTGGAATTTTCTAGTAGTAGTTGGTCACATTCAACTAGACATGTTCTGTAATGTTGAAGATATTTCATAGCTTATCCAAGCAACTTCTTCAGTTCTATTGAGTGTAAGGAAAACATCCCAGTATCTTCCCGGCATTCATTAGAACCAAAGAAGCAGCTCGCAGATATTATAAAACCTCCCCAAAGTTACAGAACCAGTCCAGATGAAAGTATCAACTACTACTAGACATACCATGACTTGGTAAAAGAGTACCTTCATACTGTAGATACTTGGAAGTTTCTAGTAGTAGTTGGTCACATTCAACTAGACATGTTCTGTAATGTTGAAGATGTTTTGTAGCTTATCCAAGCCACTTCTTCAGTTCTAATGAGTGTAAGGAAAACATCCCAGTAGTATCTTCCCGAAAATTCATTAGATCCAAAGAAGCAGCTCGCAGAAATGATAAAACCTCTCCAAAGTTACAGAACCAGTCCAGTTGAAAGTACCAACTACTACTAGACATACCATGACTTGGTAAAAGAGTACCTTCATACTGTAGATACTTGGAAGTTTCTAGTAGTAGTTGGTCACATTCAACTAGACATGTTCTGTAATGTTGATGATGTTTTGTAGCT